AGCCTCGCATTGCGGCTAGGGTTGCTCCATATTTTCATGGCACTGTTACGTTTTTGATTTACTCCATATATAAAGGCCAAACGTTACATTCGAATGCGGAAGGGTATTACATACTACTATTTTCGTCAAAGAAACGACACCCAATACACTTGGCATTGAGTGAGATGGCATCAATCTCCACACGTGGCTTAACATTTTCTGTGATCCTAACTTAAATATTCTGATTAAATGTGTTGGGAAAGGCAAGAAAAATCGCTGAACTTGCAACTTGGAGGCGACATCAGGCTCATTTGATGCACAATGATTGTTCACAATGCATTGGTACAACCAATTTGGCTGTTAATTACTTGCGATTTTGGGAATGGGGTAGCGAGTGTTGACGACAATAATTTGATACAACGCAAAATATGTGCATCGCATAAGGCTCTGATGAATTGAACAAAGCTGTTTACAGACTGTGATACTCAAGAAAACGAAATGGCATTGGCATTTAGATGATGTGCATGGCAACACATACACCCTGCAGCCAACGGGTCACCACACGGAGACAAGAAAACAAAACAAGCTTCCTTGCTGATGGACTGAAAACATTGCTCACAAAATCCGCAATAGGAGGCTAGTCTTCTCGTAAAGCTGCAGGGAGAAGAGGTGCAATGTATGCAACGTAGATGAACCTTTTCCAACGCTGTTTCCTCCGCCAAATTCAGTGAAGGGTTCCATGCAATTCTGTGGTGCGCTTTCGAAAACCGCTCTAAGCTTTGGTGCTTAAGTGGGAACACCTATTGTATTTGTCAAAAGTCACGTTCTTCCAAGCTGAAAATCGCAGCCCAGCACGGGCAACGGAATTCATACATTTGCTCATCCGTTGAAATGAGGATGTCAATTTTACGTTCTGGTTAGCCAAACGTCACACACTGACTATGGGTGATGTAGATGTTCATCTAATGGAATTTGGGGGCACTGTCGTATATGCCGATGCCACTAGTGCATCACTCTCGATGTAGAATCAAATGCAATTGTGGCAAATCTTGGCCCGTTATACTACAACATTTAAAAGGTATAAAGAAATCCGATTGAATTGCAGAACACCAAAAGGCAACAAATCGTCTGATCCACCACCACTGACTTCCACCCCGCATTTTTGAGTGGCTCAATGCAAGTAATTCTAGACAGAATGCGCCAAAATTGTTAATGTCAAGTGGCTGAAGGTATCTGACATCACAACAGATTCAGACGGACGTGTTGTGGCACGACCTCCCAATGGCCCACTACAGCTCAACCATCTTCAAACTCGCCTCACGTGCGATAAACCCCCGGAATTGTACACTCAACACTCTGCGCTACCCCAGTCGGCTTTTCAGTGCTCTTGGATTTGTCGCCTACTTAGCGTTGCATTTTCCAAGGTTGCTGAATCTCCTATGGGTTGGGGAGGGAGTAGACTACCAGGAAAAGGGCACGATATTGACTCAGGCGTGAGTCAATATCATTGTAGCATTACGCGCTATGCGAAGGGGAGGGCATATTGCAAGTGGGCCGCCAATCGGGTCTTTTATTAGTGAGGCGATGGGCATCTGCACATTTGTGTGTAATGCCTTGTCTTGTGGGGTACACGGGGTGGGTGGGGTTGAAGGAGACCGGATGGGCTGAATTCCGTTCTAACATCATTAGAAAAACACTTCTGAAGTAGCTGAGCATAGATTGAATGTCCTGAAGGAGTGCCATATCCATGAGAAGTAAACACGACAGTGGCCAAATGGCTTTTTCCATGAGATTTCCAGAATAAACTGCCTGGATCCATCCGCCCTCACTCATGTTTGGAAGGGAAAGCTTCATACCGTGTATGATCACATTGTTGGATATTATCAGATTATTGAGTGGTCCTTTATCGAAGCTTTGTTTGCTCTTCCAAAATATTATGACAGGCTACAAGCAGTACAAATATGATTTGAATTTGGCGGAATCCGTAAGGCCTTCAAGCTTGGTGTCCGAGAGATGGGCGCCAGCCTCAATTGCCGATAATTTAGAATTCAGAAGTTGATTTGTTAATTGCTGCCTGCACAAGTTTGAGACCTGCTGGTTGAAGCAGTTGGTGAGACTGACAGGCGTGTATTCACCCTCGTCTGCCAGTTCCACCAATCAACATATCTCAAGCTTACCCAGGGAACAACCTAACGATTATTACGCAGACTAACTATCGCTGCACAAGACAGTTCTTACACTGCTTTCGTTTCTCCCATATGTCTTCAATGTAAATCCACTGGAAATTTCCAGCTTTCGTGACGTGCCTCCAACTCCGAGTTACAGGAGTCATATGCACAGAATGTGAATCAGGAACGCTCGCATGCTATTGCATCCAAATAATCGCACCCTGAGGGTACTTTCCCGTGCGCTATCAGTAGGAAAACGTTAGAAAATGTCAACCACTCAAAGCGCCCGTCGGCCCAATGCCTTGGAACTGCGGTGCTTGAGCAAGTTTGTCATCAGCTATCCAATCATATTGTTGTGCAGAACGAGGCGTGCCTATGACCCATGTTGGCTTTGGCAATGTGCGATACTGGTGTCCGATGCCCATCTTTGGGTGTCCCGCTGCGGACGTTCACCTTTCTGGCAATGACCTCAGTTTCGGTACATTGGTACAGCGGCGTTGACTGTGATTCTTGCTATCTCGCAAACACGGCGCGGCAGCAGTGCAAAAACACGGCGGAACGCTGTGTAGCTGAGAAAATCCAATGAAGCGACGGTCGAGCATATCAGCGCAAAGAGCGGAGAATGGAGGCAATTGCGGGGGCACCATCGGTGACCGCAGGAGCTAAGCCGCACGAAGAAAAGAGGGGTCCGGAACTGTCCCTGAAAGGGATGCGGAAAACCTCCCTGACAGATTGTCCTCACTGTTGGTTGCCCCCGCTAAATGACCAGTGTTCACGCCGAGTCGCCAGATGGAGGCCCACGGCCTCCGCGCGTCTTGGGCGCCCGAAGAACGGATTTCGAAGCTCTCCTCCGTGATTGAGGCTTTGCGGTGGAAGCCGCAGCGACAGGCCATGCCCCCGAGGTTTCGGAGCGTTTGCTGGCAGGCTGACCCGGTAGTTCAATCGTCATCTGCATCAGCATCATTTCACAGAACAAGGCAACGAGGTAGCCGTGAGCTTCCAGGGTGACCGGGTCAGCCACCCTGGGTAATGCGTGTCAACAACGGCGCGGTCGGGGGAACTTGGCGAAGTACGACATCGTGGAGTAGGGCAGCAGAGTGAGGACGCAGACTGGCTAGCTCGGGAGCCAGGCAATACTTCCTTTGCTTTTGCATGGAAGATGGCGCTGAGCCTGAACGGGAGGCCAGGGGGCAACACTACTGTGATTTTGGTACGTTTGACGTCAATTTGGCGACGAGGGAGGGCTCCAGACGCGTGGGGCTCAGAGATTAGGCAATTGGCTCGGAATCCGCTCAACCCAGGAAGTTCCAAAGACCACGCCAGGATTGTGTGCCAACACCCCTCCGATTTTCTGTAATTCAAATTTGTATCCATCCGTATTCTAGCATCTCCGCAGATTATTGCAATGGGCTGCAACACTTCGAAGTGCAACACTTCGAGAATTCTCGAGTCACGTTGCCCACTTGTGTCACCTGTTGCGCTGGAACTCACCTGCGACTAGACGTAATTCGTAATTGCCTGGGACACCTAACGGCAAAGGTGCAAGAGGGCACATTCCCGATCTATCCTGACTAAGCACGGATTACTTTGTGGCATCCGCCAATGATCAATGTAAAGACGGGTGCGAGCACGATGCCAGTCATTTATTGTGGTTGACAACCATTCAGCGGCAAAAATGACAGTGGGGTCGCTTTGGTGCCCGTGGACACAGGGACGTGTCACATGGAAAGACTACTGAGGCTCGGGAAGTGTGCGGCCCATGGCATGGACTCCATGCACATTCAACTGCTCCCACAGATTGGCATCCTCTTGCCGTTCGCGTTCGCAGCACTGGCTCGGTGAAAGGTTTTGGGCGCAAACATTAAGGAGATGGCTGCCACCCTATTTGCGGAAATACAACGCTTCCACAGCATATGCTTTCACGGCACCAGAACAAGCATGTCAGCCACGCCGATGCTCATAGTTAATGATCTTCAGCACCCTTTTTAGAACATTGTGTAATTGGTGTTATGCATTGGCGACGCGGGCAGCAGTAGGCCTGCCAAGCGCGTTTTGTTCCCTTCTAGAGCATAGTGTTATCGTTGGGTTGGTGGATGGTTTTGTTGGCAACGCTGGGCGCCCCAACCGCCACGACACCAGCCTCGATCTCCGATCGGCTTCGTCAGTCGCTGCATTGAACGAGCAACTGCAGTTTTGTCCAGCAGTGAATCGCAAGGGGATCGAGGGCCTGGCGGTGACTTGAGTTCCTGAGGCGAAATAGCGGAATGCAATAACAAATAAAGCGCGCTTGTTGCATCTTAAGCGTCTGTCCCAGACTAGAGCCGATCACTGGGACAACGCAATCCAGAGCGGCTTGTTCATGGACGACAATATTTGCTGCTCAACAAAGATGGCTTGGGAAGGGAGAAGAACAGATATGCTTCTGCATGCCATTTCCAATGTCGCCGCATAACAGTCATGCGTGCACACATGAACTGAGCAGCTGTTGGTCATTGTGTCGGATATAATAGATCCTTGGTTGAAATGTACAACGACCCAATACAACGCAAGTGCAGATTCACTGACAACGCAGTGTGGACATCCGACATGGGGCTAGCCGCATCCCGTGCATTCATCCGTCACAGCAACCAATCATTGGTGTCCCAAATTCCGGAGTCCTCAACCACCCTCACACCTCAGCGAGCTTTTGATGATGATCCACGGACATAGCCACCCACAGGGGGGCCTCGCCCAGTTCCCAGCTTCCCACAATAAATTATCTGCATCGACTAAGCATCAATTCCTCCACTAGCATGAGAAAAATGGCGAGGCTGATTGTTCTTCTGTGATGCTTGTCCCATCTTGTACTGCCATTCACTTCTTCTCTGGCGCTAGCAACATCGTCAGTACCCCTCCCTCCATGCGAGGGCGCTTCTCGAGCAAAAATCCTTCCCCAAGGTCGGCAATGAACCGCTGCAATGAACACAGAAATTGTCAATTTGGTGATGGTGGCACAGGGAATGGACAAAAAAGGACAACAAAATTGTGGCGGGAAGTGCACTGTTAACCCCACCTCTACCATGACAGCTGCCAAAACTGGCAGTGGTGCAAAGAAACGCACCGCTGAAAACCCCGCTACATCGCCTGTATTGCCCATGCAATGTAACAACACAACCCAGAACTTGGCCACCCACATGACGAACTCACCCATTGAAGGTAAAAATGAACACGGTGAACTGAACTCACCTCCAGTAGCTGGTACCCCATTTCCCTGAACTGGTGCTCACGCCCCCTAAACTGGCACATGACCTTCACCCGATTTCCCTGTCAAAACAAGCAGCTCTGGGGATTGGCGCAAGGCAGAATTAAAATAACTCACCATCAGTGAGGCATGATTCTCACACCTATCTCGCAAGCAGGGTGGTATCCAGCAGCACTTATGGTCGGTTTGGGGAAATCAATTCCTTGAGTGTGGTGGCTTAGAAAGCCATGTACATCAGGTTGCACCATGAATTACAGTCACTTCGTCACTTGAGTTACAAATCCATCCACATGACAGGGGTGCAGCACATAGTGCATCTGCGCCAATGGCCACTCACTCGCGGCATCTGGCTGGTTCTGTGGCAGGTGGACAGTTTTCATCCTTCCAACTTAAAACCAAACTTTATCTCAAAGGTACTTTTGTAGCAGGTTCCATAAGGTAGGTATTTCCATTTCTCAACTGGTGTCACACAGGGGCCGCCCATGGACTTGCAGATCCTTTTGGGGGTAAAGGGTTATATCAGAGACTGTATGTGGGTAGGAGCGTGATGATATATGATGTTACATTCTTCATCAACTGCATGCATTCTGTGGGGGAACACTGTCTTGCACTTACCATGGCAACTGGCAGCTCTGACAAACACAATGTTCCCAAAATGTGCATGACTTGCATTGCCTTTCTGCCCTTGATGCTGTCTGCTCTTGATGCTGTCTGCTTACTGCATTTGGTGTAGTGTGCACATGTTGGGTGTGCCACTTTTGTGGGCACGCCCCAGGCTCCTCTGTGAGTGGCCCAGGGGCTTCTGATGAGCAACAACAAAATGCCAAGTGCCAGCCTTTGTTCCTTACTCTAAGGCATTGTAGCCAAAAAATGGCCAAGTTGTCCATCGTTTCAGAGCTTCGCCAAACTGACAAGCAGACAATGTTTAGGAGCCTGATAAGCTGTTTCGTATCATTCTTCTGTTCTTCTTCTTGGTGGCATCGGTTAGGCAAATTGGCAGTGTGTTGCTCCATGCAGAATATCAGGAATGTCAGCAAGGTTGAAGGATTGCAAAACCTAGACTTTGCACAGGCAGGTTGACAGAATGCATCCATCCAGCAGATTGGTTGAATGTCTGCATCTATCTACTCAGAATTCCAAGATCCCAAAGATGAAGAAAAGCAGATCAATTCCCATGGCACGGTTGTCTTTGATATTAAATTCCTTGATATTAAACTCCATAGCACACAAAATATTTCCCTTAAAAGGTGCTTAAAGCCCACCAAGAGAACAGGGTTGACCAAAGTCAATAACTAAGCGCCCATTTGGCCAAACAACAAAAGAATGAAGTCACCACCAAGAGATTCGGCAAGCTGGGGTTTTCTGACTGGGAAGAAGGATGTGGGAGGCATCTGTGAAAGATGTATGTGCAAACAATGGTGCTGTCACAATCGCAATACAGCTTGACTGTTCGTGTCCCTATCCAGACATCCCAGTAGTTTGCCAGCAGGTGCAGGGCCCTGTGGGGAGACAGCAATGGGTGTGTTGCGTACCTTACTGAGCTCCAGTTGTGCTTTTCTTAAGCGGACATTGTAATCATGAGTGTCTGTCCCTGGCCTCATCTTCAGCACTTTCACCTCTACCCTACAGTGTAGGGCAGCAGAACAGAGCCAAATGAGTTTTGCAGCTTTTCTTTCCAATCAGCTATTTCCCACACAGCCCATGATAAGTACATGCAGAATATCTTCTGCATCTTTTCTGTGTGGCACTGGCAGAAGCTATTTCAGAGAATATGCGAACCTTGCATCACGCTGTTTCTTCCTCTTTTCCTTGCTCTCCTTCTCGAGCATGTACTTGTACTTTCCCCACTCCAAGAGGCGGCAGACTGGGGGCGATGCGTTCGGTGATACCAAAATCAAGTCAACGCCCTCCTCTTGAGCCCTTTCGAGGGCCTCACTTGTGGGCATGACACCCAGCATGTCTTTGTCTTGGCCAAGCAGTCGGACTTCGGGAGCCCTGAATAAAAGGCGTTGTCCCCATCCTTGTCATTGCCAATACATGCCAGAAGTAGGAGGTACTGTTCAGGCTGGGATCCACAGTGCAAGCTGGCACACAACTGTTACTGGCTTGTTCTCACATGATAAGATTCTGCTGATTCAAATATTCCACCACAGCCACAGTCAGCAGCTTTTGCTGGCAAAAAATTGGCGCCCCAGCAGAGAGCAAGTGTCCTGCAATCGTCCAACACAATGTCTGTATGTACATTCGCTGCATCGGTATGTCTACCTGCCCAAGTGGAGCCAGCTGCCAATTCCAAAGTCCACCACACATACACACACGTAAGAACCACATCAATCGTGCCCAGGATTTCAAGGCCATGAAGCTGTTCCGTTGACCTTCTGAGACGTTTAGTTCTGTGCCGCATGAAGTCGACTGAATGCAACTGTCCATGCAACACAAAATACTGCCCCTGCACTGTGCATTTGATGATGCCCATAAGCCACATCACATTGTTTCGAATTTGTTCATCTGCTCCAATATGTGAAAAACCAATGGAGATGGGGAAAGCTTGGGTGGCAATGTTGGCCCCATGTGGGCCATAAGGATCGAGGTCGTGAACACATCAGAGACTTCATAAGTGCAGGATGGAGGCACAGCCCTGTTTCTCACATAACATTCATCAGCTCCAATGCAACAGCACTCACGTAATCTCTTCATTTATGTACACCCCCATTCCAGCGCGATTCTTGTCCTTGATGCCACCTCGGTTCCCTCGTCCATCCTCACTGGAGCGGCTGCCCCCTTGACTTGGGCGATTGCCCCCAGGCCTTAGACCCCCACCCCCTGGCTTTGGGCTTCCACCTCCTGGCTTTGGGCGTGAGCCTGGGGCACTGGGGCGGGGACCAGGAGGCCTGGGACGTGTGGCTGGTGGCCTTGGACGCGCACCAGCCGACTTGCATTCCACAACCTGTTCAGTTCAAAATTTCAAGCCACATTGTAACATCCAGGTATCAAGCTTTTGATCTGCGGACCTATCTTAGGTTCCACTGGCAAGGGGCGGAGAGCTGACACGTTTTCACTGTGACTCTGCATGCAAACTGACAGTCAATCTCTGGCCATGACATCCCCTTGACTTTCCCGCCAATTGGGATATAATCTACATCTCTTCTGTTGAGACAGGTGCGACACCTGGAATTTAAATATGATGATGTTCTGGAATAAGAAAAGAACAGGACACACTACTCAGCGAATAACATTTTACCTCAACATCCACGTCCAGATTCTGGCCACTTGCTGCGTAGAGCAGTCACTACCCGTCCTTATTATTACACACCCTTGCATGAAACTACCGTAAAAAAGAATAGTCACAACCCCCATCAACCCATTTGCTGTGGAAACTGCTGCCCATTGGATGCCATCCTTCTTCTCTAATCATGAACGTACCCCCCTGTCAGCCCTCCCCAACCTTATCGCACAGCCCAATCTCTTCAGCCGTGAAGACCGAGCCACCGAGGCCGCCCGCGACCTAGCAGCGGCCCCTGCGCGCGGCAGCCCCTCCCAATCCCATCCCTTATCCGATCGTTGCACGCACCAACCTCCTGGTCACAATTGTTACCAAGATGCAACTGGTCCAATGCCCTTCCACCCACACATTCTCTCCACCAGTACCCATCACCCCGCACCCATTCACAGAGCCCATGCCTCACCATCCGCGCCGCGTCGCGCCCCAGGCCCCTCAGGACGAACGCCCCGCGGCCGCCCATCGGCGCCACCCGCCGGCAGAGCACCGTCCCATCGGATCGAGCCGCCAGTCGCCAGCGTAGCTGCGCAATGTGCGCCATGTCGACCGCGCAGCGGCGGAGCCTCGATGCAGCGGCTCGGCGACGCTTGTCGCTCGAAGACCGCCCTCGGGAGACCAACAGAGGATGGGGGAGGGCCGAGAGCGCCGCTCCTGATGGCGCTGGGATCGCGGCCGCCGCTCAGGGTCGGAGCAGGCGCGTGGGCGGCGCCGAGAATAGCGCGGAGTATGGGGGCCGCCGGGCGGAGGCGGGTGCCGCGTTAGTTGCGCCCCTGTGGCGTCGTCGTGCAAGCCGACAGGATCGATGGCTGGGGAGATTTGGGTGGCTGGGCGGGGACGAATGTACCAGGCGGCACTGGAAAACACTGAACTGGAATCTGGAGCACAAGGTCGTCAGACCGGCCCTGCTGTCATTCTGTACAGTAGTTAGCGTACAATGCGGCACATCCGCAATTATCGGCCGTCTATGCGGCTGTTCTCTGTGTTTTTTTGTTCATTTTTGCAACCTCTGCAGTTTCTGTTGGCAATTCGGCGTTTCTGGGTTTTCAGCGAAGGGCTGAATCGGATGGGAAACCGTGCACTTAGTGCGTTCAAACCCGTTTTGAGCGAGAAGGCTATTTCGGGCTGTACGCGTGCGCTCGCCATCAGCGCCATAATGGGACAGCTACGCATCCACTTTCGACCGTATGCGATTTCCGATGCCTACGGGTCAAGCATCCGCCACGAATCGACAGATTTCGCTACAGGCTTACAGTTTCTGGCGCGCACAACAGAATTACAGCCCATGGGCACGCATGCACCGCCCTTCCGGCGCCAGTTTTTCACATGCCTTGCCTGCTTCGGCATCTACATGGCCCATGTGTGACAGATGCAGCCCTTTCAGGCCAACCTGCCCCTCGCGGGCCTTTTGCGCGTCAGGCCTTGGAATCGGCCCCTTTGCAGCCTTGTACAGGCCACGGCACGCCTATCTGCCCTAAAAGTAAACCAACGCTCCCAGCCCATTTCTTTTTCTCCACCAGGACCAACCCCTTTTCCTCTTCTCTTTTCATCAGTAAGACATGTTTTCAGTCTGAAATGATGACGTCATGTCAGACATGATTTCAAAGCCACACCAAGCCAATTGTATCCCTTTAAGGCAGTGTCCGACGGCCTGGATCTGCATGAGGCTGCATGGCACTGGTGGGAAATCTGTTATCACGTGCCGTACGGGTCGGTGGAGTGTCAGCCCCCCCTGTTTTTGGAGTCGCTGGCATGACTCCCTCACCCAAGGAAAGTACAACCCGTATGTCAGGACATTTTCTGTCCTCTAGCTTTCACGCACCCATGTGCATTCCTGTGGGAGTGTCAGGACGTAACCATGCATGTCATGAGGATACAGTGAATGCGCATTCCCATTGCTGTGCGCGCCAGCAAACGGTAACTAATTCATTCTCATGTACCCTGTGCTGAAAGTGCGATTCAGGTCACGTTTTGTCTGAATTGTAACCTTTCAGTCACATGGAACCCCTTTTCCATGCAAACCAACAGGCCTGGTGTCCTTCCTCTTCAGGTCGGACAGCCCGAATGATCCTGATGGATCAGGGCATCACAGGGCAGCCCAGTGATCCCAATTAGCCCCCAAGCCTACACCCTTACGGTGCAGGACCTCCAAGAGTAGCCTCTGACCTGACCAGTCTGGGGAGCTGATCAGTGACACGATTCTTTTGAAGGCACAGAGTGACTTCAATCAGTCAGCTCCTGATTCCCTCACCCTCCTCGGTGAAGCTTACCCCCAAGGCATTATAGCCTTAATGTTTCAGAGGCGTTTTCACTCTTTATTTCTTTTAGTGTTTTCCCCTTTTTTACAGTTTGCAATGGCGGCATACTCGGGCCATCCCATGCAGCGTTCATTGCGCATACGGTCGATACCCATCGGGAACCAATCGCAGAAGTGAGTCACCCAGTGAAACGGTGCTCATTATGTGGTTCGCCGAACAGGGCATTAACCCATCGGGCATTCATCCGCTGGGATGCGAGTTGACGGGAGGCAGGGTGCCGCCCCTGCCCCGGGGGTGGAGGAAAGTTTGACCGACCCGGCCCGGCCGGGCCAGTTGGCCGCAGATCTCGCCGGGTGGAGAACATTCTGCTGTGCCAGTGGCTGTTGTCGGTGGTGGACTTGTCGGCCGTGGCGACCATGGATTGGGCGGATCAACCGCAGCGGATGCTGATGGGGAGCAGAGCTTGGGTGGAGGGGGGAGGGCGATGTGGTTCAGCTGGGAGCAATCGCGGCTTGCTCCGGATGGGCTTGCAACCCACGGGACGGCGCGTCTTTTATTGCGAGCTATGTCTGGCGGGCGCAGAGCGCCTGACAGGGGACGGCATCTTGCGTAGTGTGATTTGTTCGGAGTGCTGTGGCTGGCGCCGACGCGAGAGCGTAGGCACTTGGAACGTTGACAGTGGCTTGGGCTGACCCAGGAGGGTTTTGTCCATCACCAGGGCGTGTGGATGCTCGGGCTTGGGCCGTGCCAGCGCCGATCGCCACAACGGCGATGGCCCGCGCCCAACTGCGCGGCTCGGCGTTGACGTTCCCGCGAGAGCTGCAGTCGGGCCGCGGAGCGCCTCCAGAGCCTTACAGCGCTCTGCTGTGGCAACCATCTTCACGGCGACCGCGGCACCGGATGCAATCAGCGCGCCCCGTCAAGGCCAAGCGTTCGGGGCCCCCGGGCCCTGGAGTGAAGTTTTGGAAAGCGGAGGGCGGGGGTGCGGCTCCCACCCGGGCCTGGGGGCGTGCTTGAGCACGAGCACGGGGTGGGGCAACGACCTCTGCCATCGCGATCTCGCGCCTTCACGGTTGTCTCAAAAGTCATGGCGGGGGTGGATGGGTGCGATGGCGATAGTGCGAGTGCGACTCCCTCGGCTGCGACTGGCCCCCTCGTTGGGCTGCGGAGCGCAACGGGGGGAGAGGGCACTCTGATCTTTGTATTGGAGCGGCTAGGCCTGTGAACGGTTTGCCTCCCGGCTTGTTGCTAAGGGGTGGTTGTGACGGATTTTCCAAACGTGTCGACTCTCTCTACGGTCCCAAATCCGTGGCAAAGCGCCTCGCCCGTCTCGAAGGTCTTAGTCTGCACTGAGTCAGCTCGCCGTACGTTTGTCGGAACCTGATTTCAGCATTGACAAGGTCGAAATTTGGCAAGGCTTCGTTTTTGTCTCGGCCTGCACTTCCCATTCCCGGTGCCCACTTTCCCACACATGCAAATGCACACCCACAGTCACAATTCACCAGCCCAGCCAGCCATCCGCGAAGCCGAGATGGTCTTCATTGCCACCACGACGACGAGGGATTGCGCCGGGAAGGCGCGTCGCGAGCGCATGCGGGCACGGCGCGCCGCGACCGCGGCACCTATAGCCGCTCCCGTCGGCGGCCATCGAGCGCAGCCACCGGCCCACCGAAGACACATGCCCTCAGCACCAGCACCCGACTCGGAGAGCCCCGCCACTCAGGTAACCCCCATGTCACAGCGGTCGATTCTTACACAAGAACGCTGAGTCAGGCTCTCAAAAATTCATTTCCGGGGGGCTCCAAGTCGCGTTGCCAGCTTCCTATATAATTCCCCGTCACGGGTCACCAGCCCAAGACAAAAATAGTGTCTCATCTGCATGAAAATGCACAACCAGCAGTCCTCTACTGACATCTGCAATGTTTCCCCAGGTGCGTTCGCCAGGTGCTCTCTCGACGAGAGGGCGCACAGTGTTCCAGCCCTGGGTTGTTGTGTGCCCGGCCCCGAGGGACGCGAGGACGCCCCGTCGCACTGCCGACCCTTCACCTGTCCTTTGCCTTGAAGGGAACCCTTTCGGTTCTCTTGAGTCGATCCTCAAGCCCAGAAGCGGCCGCTCTGCGGCGGTCTGCCACGTAAGCAGCGGGATGGCCGCGTCCCAGGAGGAATGGCACCTGTTCTACTGGCCGGGGATCAAGGGCCGCGGAGAGTTCGTGCGGTTGATGTTCGAGGAGGCCGGCGTTCCGTATGTGGACGTCGGGAACGGCCCGCAAGGCGAGCCCCGATCGGCGGTGCATTTGTCAGGCCCTATTCCATGCCCGTGACTCTGTGTTGCGGCCAGTGGCAATCCGCTCGTTTCAGTCCGCACGACCTTGTGCGGGGTCAGGGGCTCGGGGCGTTAGCTCCCTTGGCTGGGGGCGCCGGACACTATTGCGTCACTTACGACCATTCTCTGAGCATTCCCTGCGCCCGTGGACTCCGTGTTTGAATGTGCTTGGTAGCTGAAGTGTTCCCCACCTTGCTTTGCCCGATTCATGGACAGATGTGCTGCCTTCCGGTGTTTGTGGACTTGCACATGCTGCGTTCTCTCACGCGATGGAAGCGAACGGAACGGGTTGGGGAGAGCCACGTGCTGTAGAGATGCTTTGTACAGCTTTGTACGGCTGCGTCGACAACTCCCTGGAATGCATTCGTACAGTTGAAAGAAAACGCAACGGACACAGCCCATACGTTTGCAGGCGATGAAAGTCGCGACAAAACATTCACCCACTTGTTGGTCAATGCCCCAGCTGGCAGGAGCAGCTCGGGCTTCCCTGTGCTTTTGCAGTGCGTCGTGCGGAACGATAATGTGTACGAACTGAGAGCGGGAACTGATCACGTGGATGGACAGTCATTCGCATGTTTGGAACCTCGGATTATAGCCCAGCAGGTGCAGTGTGAACAAAATCGTCAAGTGATATTGGATATAGGCTTTTGGGACATTGAACCTGCACATGCGGTCCAACAATGTCTCAGCCCAACAGAGCGCCTTCCTGTCGCAACGCAGATCGCTTAGCCACAATCCCAATGCTGATTTAAGCAGTCTGAAGTCGTTACACACGTCGCACGTCATGCATCCAGATTCGGCTGCCTATACCCACGGCCAAGTGCACTATCGGTTCTCAGCAACTTGAAATAGAGGAAAATCTGCGAGCGAGACAAGCAGCCAGGGCTAGGGCACAGAGCATGTGGCATTCTATGCTGCAACCAGGTACTGCAGTGGCTGACATCCAGGGTCGAGGGTCCTTCTTGGATGGGTAATTGCAGGTTTTGAGGCATGATTGTCGATGCAGGGATGGATGCGGTGATCGCTTACTTCTACAGGGGCGGTCAGACTTCAGGGCTACCAGCCTGCAGTCCTCCAGCCATTCAGAAAGGAGATTTCAGTCTTTGCAACACCCCAGCAATAATGAGCTACCTGGGGAAGGCATTCGGCATGGGTCCTGCAACGAAGGAGGGTGAGGCTCATGTGGATCAGATACTTGCCATCGTAACCGATGCCATATCTGAGGGGCGTCTGGCATACCATCCAAAGGCAAGAATATGTCCAAAGGCAGCTTTTGTATTTAGAGCAGCATTGCATTCACAACTATCTTTTCAACATGTGAACAGTTTGCAATGTATTGAGGTGCCTGACAGGTCGGGATGGTCGTTTGTGAACAACAAACATGCTGACTCGAATGCCTGCATGTTTGTGCTTTGCAAAATTGTGTCCTTGGAGATTTCGTAGTGATGTATGGAGAAATAGGTCCTGCAAATGTCCACCATGCTGGTTGTGCTGACCTGGCTCTGCATATATCATATGTATCACAACAAGTACTCCCTTCAGCGCAGTGATTCAGCAGCACCTGGCACCTTCAGTTGTGTTTCGACTGCACAAACAGCATCTAATGTAGTCACTGTGAAGACAAGGTGCATAGATCCCAGTGAATTGTGGAATACATTGTAGGGTATAGCAGCAACAATAGCCCCAGAGCCTATTTACCACATTGAGGGATAATGCACCAAACTCAAGAGCGGTTTGGTGCATACTTGATGCACCTTGAACGTATGCACATACATGGAGAACAATCTGATGTGGACTATCTTGTGGTGCTTGAGCTGCAGGCAGAACGTAACATGACGACAATTAGCTTGCCTGTGCATATTTGGTGTTTAAGTCGGCCAGTGCAATATCTCATTGCAAATGGCAGGGTGTTCTTGTACAGTGCTCAATTGATATTGCAGTCCTCAACTTGCCATACGCACCACAGTGGTGCACAATGTCAACAGCCTTTCGTGCAAAATGTCGGTAAGGTCCGAAAGGCTGCACTTGTGCGCAACATCGCAATTATATGGTTTTTTGGGCAAAACGGTTGTACTCAAGACTGGCCGTCAGAAAACAAGGAAATTTGTGCGCAACATTGCCATTTCTGAGTGCACAAAAAGAGAAGAGGATGCATGTTCTGTTATTTTCCGTGACCCCCTTACCGACATTTTGCACGAAAGTTAATTACATGTGCACCCCAGTGGCTGTGGTCTTGCCGCCCCTTTCATTATTCCAGCCCACGGCATACTAAACAACGAACTTGCAGCAGCATATGAAAGATGACTTTTCTTGATGAATTGGTTTGTTGTTTGTTGGATTATGCATTGTTGATTGATGTCTGCAGCATATCAAAATGGCCTTGGTCCACTTCGCTGGGTTGTGGCATGGATAGGAAGCACTATTGTGCTGAAAGTGTTACAAACTGGTCGGCAGATTTTCTTGATTCTTGAATGTGCAGAGATGAGCACAAGCGCCAAGGAGATGTCAGCGGCTGAAATCGTGCCTGCCATCACCATCAACGTGCACTGGGGAGCTGTTTGTAATCCCAAGTTGACATCAAGGCGATCATTGCATGCCACAACTTCACTCATATTGCCCATACAACACAGAAATGAATGTAATTTGTGCTGATTTCTGCTTTGTGAGGACTCCAAAGTACGGAAACTCTTGCTTCATAAATGCAGCTCTCATGATACCTCCATTTTGTTTTCTCTGGTGTCGCTACCAATCGTTGCATAGCGGCAAAAGACCACAAATCTGCACGTAGGGCGATGCTGTCGCCTGAGCAATGAAAACCATTGTCGCAAAAGCACTCACAGAATGGTTAATCTCTTCTCATGGATGCCCTGCCATGCAACAGGACTTCTACGCCTCGCACAAGACTCAAGTGGAAGAGTCCAAACCATATATTGCGCAGTACGTCGCCAAGCGGGTTCCAAAATACATGTCGTACTTTGAATCGGTGCTCGCTCACAGCGGCAAGGGTTTCTTCGTCGGAGACTCCATAACTGCCGCCGACATTGCCGTTTTCCATTACCTCCAAGCCGTGCGCCATCACCTAAGGGAGGCCTTCGACTCGAGCGACGCCAACCTCTGCAAGGCGTTCTTGGAGAGGATAGCCGCAAGGCCAAAGATCCATGCGTATCAGCAGTCGGACCGCTGCCCTGTGTGGGACGCGGATTCGCTGATGTGAAAGAAGAAGGCTTGACGCTGCATGAGCCCCGACGCCGCCCATGGGTGAAAGGGCAGTGCCTTTCTTGCCAGGTTTTGCCACAGGCGGACAACAAGCAGTTGCATACATAGTTGTCTGTTAGTGCATTTGTGACGATTGTGTCTGGATTCGAAAGCAAAAGCCTCTTGGCGCTTTTCCTTGTGCTGCCCACGTGTTTCTAGACGCTTCTTGCTCCACGGAATTTTGGAACTCCTTACATCAGGAACTTGTAATTCAATGCAGTCCAGTGTCTGGGCCCGTTCACAAGTAATGCGATGTAGGCTGCTTTGGTCTATTCGGTTCCCTGATGTAGCCCTGTGTTCGATTCACCAAACCGATCTGCACAAGGAAGTTCGAGCAACCAAAGAAGGGAAAATATGTATCCAAAGCATAGAAGCTGAGCTCTTCACTTCACTGTGATAGATGTTACACCAGCGCATTTGCAGGTTCCTGGTTCCAAACAGTTCCTTCGCCATGGCGCGCTCGCCGCTTTGATCTTCGTGTGCTACCTATTCTGCCGCCCTGTTCTTGCACGGAGTTTGGGTCACTTCGGTTGACAGCAGCCTGTTGTGAATAGGCGACGCTTGGGCACACCCTTGTCTTTGAAAGAAAACGCATAGACCGTTGCTGCGGAGGTTGCGTGGCAAGCTCTTTTCGCTGCCCTGTTGTCCATGGATGGCATCTATGGATGCCCATGTCGACAGTAATAACCCTGCTTTACAAATTGAAGATACAGGGGAATACAGAGCAAACATGCATTTCATGCTGTCAGCCAGTTGCTGCAATATCTGGGATTATTTTCCTAAGCATTGTGCACCGACCTACTGGCGCCATGGCTTGGACTACCCTAAACCAGACTGGGTTACCCAGTCTACTGCGCAAACAACTTCGCCCATGGCATTCAGCACATTTCTAGTAAGGGCAACACCACACATCGTAATATGTTTAGAGCTTCCGCAAACAATGCAACCCTAGGCACTTTGAACCGCACATGTACAAAACGGCGAAGAAACGGCGAGAAACCCATTTGAAATGAAAACCAACGAAAAAAAACTGGCGCAAATATCAAAAGGGCCAGGGCGGTTTGTGGGTTGGCGCCTGTGTCCCATCCAGGCCATGTTTCCGCATTTTGCAATGCACAATGCGCAACAGTGG